AAAAAGTAATTAAAATAGACCAGCACCTTCTGGGATGTGGAGCTATATGTCGGGTAGCTTACTGACGTTTCGGAAGAACATACTGTAGCCATCTTCATTGTCGAAGTATAATTCAAACACGAAACCAGCAAACAGAGATTTGCGTACTGATTGCCTGTTTGGCTTACGTTTCGAACGTGAATATAGAGGCCGTACGAGCCTCTGAAACATCGGATTACACGGCGTCACATGCTACACGATATTAATTGTCATAGTCTCAAATCCAAAGTAATTTTCCCCACTCTGTTGTCACGTGTATGGGTGACTAAACATGGGGTTCAGGTTGGTAGTTGTATTTATTGGATGGTTACATGTGGTAACAACAAATAATCATAACACTACTGCTGCTTTACACATTTTACAGTCACTCCACAATAATCTCAGTCTATTTCCACTAGTCCTCAAGGATTTATAATACAGGAACTATAATAGTCTCACTAAATCACACACTCCCAATATCACCTCACTACAGCACACACATAAAGTCTTCTAATCATACGTTAAATCTAGGCTGACTTCTTGTGTTCTTCTTCAACTACGAACTTTCCGTGGCTTTCTCCTGCCGAGAACTGACTCGTCCTTGAGCCGAACGAATTCTATAACTTAGCCGGGGAACGGACACGCATCAAAGGAAACACGTCATTTGACCACCACCCACCGCTACGTGACGTTATCGCGGACACGGAAAATACAGCCTTCTCTATTGTTACGTGTTTGACCATGTTTGTAGAGCTGTTGCCTGGCAACGCGTTGACCAAATCCGTTACAGTGTTGTTACAGGATGCATTTCAGCTTTAAGCTTTCAGATAAAGAACATATAAGTTTAAGATTTAAATGTGCACAGGCTTATATTATTAAAAAATCAAAATTCGTAATATTAATTGATAATAAAATTTAAAAATAGCAAGAAAAGAAGAAGGTTACTTTTCGTCTGAATCAGACAGAGGACACAAAGTACGGGATTCTGTCTGCTGTTATTGCGTGACGTGAAAAGTAATTTCACACGACGTTTTAAATGTGTAAGGTGTCGTCGCAAAATTCTTATGCTTTTCTTTTAATTTATATCTCATAAGAGATATTGCAATATACGGCACTATACATATATATGGGATGATTTTCCTACACTTTTGCAGTTTCAATAAACAGCTAAATACGTTCCAAATACATCAGAATCTAATGGAACACGACCACAGTCACAAAACTCCAAATTAGTAAAATTACTTCAGAATATCGCACGAGTTTTCAGTGGTAGAATTCTGTTTCGACTTAACACTTGCGGTTGTAGTCCTCCTCTAACGAGAGGATGGGTCTGTCGTTTGCAATTGTTGTTGGCCGTCGCCAGTGCAGTCATTTGAAGATCCTTTACTTTACATAAAGGAAAGAGCCACAAATGCCAAAGACGTTTGATACAGAGATACGAAGTTTTAATCCCCAGAACCGAGAGCTTAATCCATAGAGCTGCTGTTGCTGCTGATGGTGCTGGCCTTACAGTAGGGGCATTCGTCTTTGAAGAGTCAAGGATAACACGAAGGACTTCATGCAGGATAACCTAGCTTCCAGCAGAGATACAAACCAAGGACCTCCTTAAAAATTACAGCTACATTATTTGGTAAAAGATGTGTTGAAATTACAGTTACAAACTTATGGTGATATTTATGGTTCAAGAAATATCAGTTATAAACGGTGCCTGGATTTTGATGACCTGAAAATATTTAAAAATTGACCTATAAAATGACCGAAAAAATCCAGAAAAATGACCTAAAGGAGAAAAGAAAGAACACTTCTCTTCCATGTTATTCACATTTCAGAAAACATATGAAGAAAAATTCCCTAAAATGGCCAACAATACGCGTAAAATTCCAAAAATTTACCAAAAAATGACCTTAAACCTAAAAATGTCAAAANCCCAAAAATTTACCAAAAAAATGACATTAAACCTAAAAATGTCAAAAATTGACAAAAATTACCTATAAAATTTACATTTCTGTAACCAGCAGCTCATATCCGAGATTTATATATATTTAAGAGCATCGCATAGAATACAAGGAAAAAAAGGTGACATGCCATCAAAATCCGGGCTCTGGTTATAAACAATTACTCTTAACATCAATCCATGTACAATGTATTTACTGTGTGTAACAAAATAATTTATTTGTTCTGTACAGCAAGAATTAGTTAAATTTGTCTTTGCGAAATATAAGGTGTGGTAGTCATCTGTTTCTTAATTATACCTGTATGAAGGAGTGGCCACTCTGTTGCAGATCGTGTGTGGGATATCCGCCATGGTTATGGGAACAGTCGCCTTCATTGAAGAGCGCGGAGAGTTCAACTTGGGACTGGGTATTCCTGCAGGTGGAGCCACTGTCTTGGCTGCCGGTAAGCGAACGTACTGTGCCTAACTCGTCTGATGATTGAGGATGGAGAAATTCGAGTTTCAGGAAGGCCTACACTGCACCCACAAAATTATGTGGGATTCAGCCGTTCACTGAAAGGTGTAACCCACTGACAGATGAACTTTAGAGGGAGAAATTGAACCGTTCACTATAAGAGCTTTGATCCAGAGAGGGAGGAATTCAGCCGTTCAGCAAGAGCTCCTCCACACTCAGAGGATCACACTCTTTGGAGGGAGGATTTCATCCTTTCAACAGCAGCTTTCCTTTACCCTAATAATTACTTCGCGAGAACATTAAACTCTTCTGTAAGAGTTTTTTGCTCTCGCAGAATTATTTGAAAAGAAAGAAATGCAGTCGTTTGTTAAGAACTCCGGTACACTCAAGAAATTACTTGAGGGAGAGGGAGAAATTCAGTCGTTCAGTAACAGCATTCCTACCCTCACATACATACATGAGAGAAGAACTCTAGTACCCCACAGGACTGCTTGAGAAGTAAACATTCAGCCCTTAGGTGAAGGGTTTCTGAAATGTTCGAGATTGAGAAATTCGGACCCAAATTCAGCAGAATCAGTAGTACACTCACAGAATTACTTTCAGAGACAGAAGTTCAAGAGAAGCACTGGTACACTCACAGAATTAATTTCAGAGTCGGAAATTCAACAGAAGATCTAGTACACTCACAGAATTACTTTTAGAATCAGAAGTTCTGCAGAATCAGTAGTACACTCACAGAATTACTTTTTTGTAATAAATTCAGCAGAAGCACTGGTACACTCACAGAATTATTTTCAGAGTCAGAAATTCAGCAAAAGCATTAGCACACTCACAGAATTACTTTCATGGTCAGAAATTCAGCAGAAGCACTAACACACTCACAGAAATACTTTCATGGTCATAAATTCAGCAGAAGCACTAGCACACTTACAGAATTAGTATACTCACAGAATTATTTTCAGAGTCAGAAATTCAGCAGAAGCCCTAGCACACTCACAGAATTACTTTTTTGTAATAAATTCAGCAGAAGCATTAGTATACTCACAGAATTATTTTCAGAGTCATAAATTCAGCAGAAGCACTAGCACACTTACAGAATTACTTTCAGAGTCAGAAATTCGGCACAAATTATAGTACCCTCATAGAATTACTTGAGTGGATGATACTGAGCCTTTCAGCTAGAACTGTCCTCCGCCCACAGAATTACTGGACACTTGAAGACGTGCAGCACCAGTTCTGTTACACTCCAGAAATCGGTTAACAAGGAGGGACAACTGTTCTGCAGTAACAGAAGCGGTTAGGAGAGAATACAAAAACCATTTAGGGCGTTTGAGCACAGGATGCTAAGGAGAATGTTTGGACGTAAGAAGAAAGTTGCATAAAGAAGCAAACATTTTTAGAATGATCAAAGTGGTCGGCGATGCGTGTAACGCACATAGGGGTGTTCAGAAATGCGCACAACATTTTCGTTCTTAAGAGACGAAATCTCTTTGAAAACCTAGACATGGGTAGGATGTAAAAAGTTGTCGCTTATCTAATTAATTAAGCATTATGCCATGAAGGCGTATAACTGCAACATTCGTGACCTCCTGACTAGATAAAAGTGGATGGTTTACCCCCTGCGAAAGGGCCCCAAGTATCCAGTGGATAGTACTCGCAGGCTGGATGAGCTCCAGAGCTTGTCTGGGAGTTTTGGAGTAGAGAAATATTGTAGTGTGTACAACCGTTGTTATGCAATAGGCGAGATAAAACGGTGTTTTCTGCTCTGTCCGTGCCAAGTGAGTTGTCAGTTGTGAGTTCAGTTCTTCACGGGAGGCTGTGAAGATAGAATCTGAGCGTAGGAAGCTGGCTAATCTCCACTGCTAGAAGCCGTTGCCAGGGAACGGTTGATGAAAACACAGCAGGCTAGAAAAAGACTTAGCGGATGCTGTATGCATAAGTGGTGGACAAGCTCATTCACAAATCCACACCCCTGATGTAGTCACACACCGCTAAATCGTAACAATATCTTGCAATTGCCGGTAATCGAACCCCCGACCGTCGCTATACCGACTGAGCGATCCCGGCTCAACAGACGTTAAAATATTTTTTAAAAAAATAGGTTGGGAATGCATGTGCTGGATTGAACTGGCTCGGGACTGGTATCCAGTGGTGTGCAGAGGTAAGGAGTACTTTAAGCCGCTGAGGGACAGTGAGCTTTTGAAGAAGGGCTCTTGATAGCAACGATTATCTATCCCTTGCTCTGTATATTATTTTCTGACCTTTTCCCAATGTAGTGCAGTATTAAGATACAAATATGAAATGGAAACAACGAATATACATTTTAATGAGCATGTGAATGAAGCCGAAAGAAGCGGGGAAATGAGACGATTATTTTTCGATATGCAGTCAGTATAGCGACTGGCTGTGGGCTGGACGTGAGGAGCCGGGATAGCGCAGTCAGTATAGCGACTGGCT